GATCTTTTCCATTTGGCTTTCTTTACAGTGGGTATACTCGTTTTGACATTTGCTGTAGCTGTCATTTTCAAATGCCACTTGAAAGCAACTCGGTTTGGCAATCATTAAAATACTGTTTTGAAAAGAACAACTGTAAAATGTCCATGTGTGATTGTACCAGTTAAAACGTGGCTGTGCACAATGGGCAGATTATTTGTTCCAAGAACTATTAAATTAAAGACTCGAAACAAAAACTAACAGGAAGCATCCATATAAATCCATCCATCCATTCGGTTCCGCTTATCCGTTCCAGGGTTGCGGGGGGCGCTGGAGCCTTTCCCAGCTGTCATAGGGCGAGAGGCGGGGTGCTCCCTGGACAGGTCGCCAGTCTGTCACAGGGCCAACACACAGGGACAGACAACCATTCAGTCTCAGATTCATCCATATAAATGTAAAACAAAATTATAGTAAGAATGATATTAAGATGATTTTATTGAATGATCCTGTTGTACACTTAGATGAAAAGAAATAGAAACCAGTTTAGCTTTGTGCGTCTGCCTTTACTGTATATTCTGCAACTATATGCACATAGTTACAGGTTTGTACACAGTCTCACACAGCGTTTGTTAGGCACACTGCCTCATGGTGAGTGGCCTGGCAGCCAGAGCTGCTCATTTCAGGAGATGGTCCCTCTTGTGGTGTAACAGAGGAATAATTCTCCTCATTTGAGACTGGGGCACACATTATCTTACAACTAAAGAAAATTACATATTTGAACAATCGGAAATTTTAACCAAATACAGAACTGTAATTATAAGGTTATGGGGGCTGTCTTGTTTTTCTTACAATCCCAATAACAGCATGTAGAAAATTGGAACCTGTCTTCTACCGCCGGCATCTCTTTGCTGTAGCTGTTGTTCAACGCTAACTTTTGTTGGAGTCAGTGGTTTGACTCAGTTCTGTTGTATTTTTGTTCAGATCCGCTCTAATGAAGACAAAACAAGGAAGCTCTTTTACAGCATCACTGGTCCTGGAGCTGATCTGCCTCCTGTTGGTCGTTTCACAGTGGACAGAGAGACGGGCAATCTGTATGTAACACAGTCACTCAACAGAGAGAAAACATCCAAGTACACGGTATGCATCTCCAAATGTTTTTCCAAGTGATTACTGCATTTTGATCCCCATTGGAAAAAGGTGTTTCGTCTTTCTTTTAAAGAAAAAAACACCTTACTTTGTTCCAGTGTTATGTTAAACAGACAATACTGCACAGTTGAGCAAAGACAGGTTTTTGATGTGAAATATTCCGTTTAGAGAAGTATTGAGAATCTTCCGTTGGTTTGTTAAACTTTTCCAGCTGGAAATCTCAGATAATTTTGGTTTTTTTGAAATGGACCATAAAGTGACTATTCTGAGAGGCAGAAATAAAGTGGTCAAGTAACAAGACGTGTCACCTCACATCATCTAAATACACTGTAAAGACGTCTCTTCACTCAATTAACTCTGCCTTGTTTGTATTGTGTGTAGATTGAACGTGTAGAAATAATTGAATCAGTTTAAAGGTGAATCTAAACTTTCTAAATGACACATGTTAAAATCTTCTCTGTAGTTTCTAGCACATGCTGTGGTAGAAGGAGGGGGACAAGCTGAGGATCCCATGGAGATTATAGTCAATGTGATCGACCAGAACGACAACAAACCTTATTTTACGGTGGAGTACAACGCAAATGTTGCTGAGGCCACAGCCATCGGTATGTATAGAAACCTTATTGCCTCTGGACTTCTT